TTCTCGGTATTTCCTCGGAAATGTCGGTTTCTTAGGAATTTCCGAGGAAATTGTCTCTCAGAAAACACATGTTTTTTTAGTAGTGTCTGTTCTAATTTTTTTTAGAAAAAAATATAAAAAAAAACGAAAAAGAAAAGAAAAATCTACTAAAATGACATTCCATGGACGTTCGTCGCAAGTGATTATATCCTTGAGTCCATATTGCATTCCACGAACGTACGCCGCATGCGTATACGTCATGTCCATGTAATTGAGTTTGACGTTTTGGATTTGACGAAGTGAGTGGTAGGAAATTGTCCTCGCGGTTCCTACGATATTTTGGATTCTACCGGATCCGGTCCTAACTGGTAAACTATTAATTCCGTTAACAAATAATGATAATATCTAAAATTAATTCGTAACGAATATGATCATATCTAAAATTAATTCCGTTAATTATGGATAATGATAATATCTAAAATTAGTGGCACGTATATGTACAAAGACAAAATACTAAGGGCGTGTTTGGCACGGAGCTTTTGGAAGCGTTTGGGAGCTTCTAGCTTTTAGCTTTTGACAAAACGCTCTAGTTTAAACAAAAAGCTTCATTTGGCAGTACGAGCGTTTACCTTTTAGTTTAAACAAAACGCTCCAAATCTAAAAACTACTTCATGTAGCGTTTAACAAAACGCTACTGAGCTTCTAAAATCAATTTCCATAATTACTCTTAAAAATATATTTATATATCTATTTATTTTTAATCAGTTGTCCTTTTATGTAATTTTATATATTTCAAAAGCTTCCAGCTACTTTTGCCAACACTCATATAACAAATAAAAGCTACAGCTTCCCGCTATCCGTTACCAGCTACCCGCTAACAGCTTCCAGCTAACAGCTACTTTTGTCAAACACGCCCTAAAAATTATTACATATACATACAAAGCCAAAGGATTATTGGTAAAAAGTAAAACATTAAAAAAAACCAAAAGATTGTTGCTAAAAAGAAAAGTTCACTATTTTTTTTAAGTTTTTTTTTACGTTATCCGTATTTAAATATATTGAATATAAATATATTATATTATATTAACTGAAAAAGTACCAGATTATAAAGATTAAAACCGCTCAAATAAAATCCACCGACGGCGAAACAGGTGGAGAGCGACGGCGGAACCGGGAAGAGGCGGAGGGCGCAGCGGTTCCGCGGTGGGCGAAGGTGCAGCTGTAGGAGGTAGTCTTCTCCTTCGTTTTATCCCTCTTGTATTGATTTTCTACTTTCTGCACCTCACCTCACCTCACCGTTTTAGTTTTTTTTTCTTATTGCGCCGATCTTTGTTATAGTTGTCTAATGGTGTGTTACCCCTGACACCATACAATATGTTATAGCATTTATATAACGCTTCTTAAGGGTCGATTCTAAGAGCGAATGTTTTTGGAAATCATGTATTGTGAAATAGATGACATGTTTGGTTTTAATTGGTATATTTGTTTTCCAGTTCAATTATATATATCTTGGTTTGAAGCAACCACGTCCTATTCCCTTTAATATTGTGTTAGATATGTATAAAATTGAGAAAGAATGTTTTACAGTTAACTCTAAATCTATTTGGTTTTGTTATTTCTCTTTGCAGCTTTGTCTTGAGTATCAAACCTTGAGAAACTCATCAAGAGATGAAAGGTCGATGCGAAAGATCGGATAGAATCAGCACTCTTCCTCAAGATACAATTGAAAAAATTCTGACTCTGATGCCTATCCGAGATGCAGTGAGGACAAGCATCTTGTCAAGGAAATGGAGGTATTCTTGGACAAGCATGCGGAAACTTGTATTTAATAACAAGATGGTTAATGGATCATCAAATAACGAAGAAATTAAGAAATATAAGTTTGTCAATGCCATCTTCCAAGTTTTGTTGCTACACAGGGCTCCGATATTGGAATTCAGTCTCATTGTTTATAGAAAATTTAGTGAGATTATGTTGAATGTGAAGCCACAGCTGGTCAAAAATGGCAGGAACAATGTGAAGTTGTGAAGCCACAATTGTTGAATGTGAAGTTTTTTCAAAGGTTGGCTGAAGACCCGGTTGTGTTTTTTGACTACTTCTGATTTCCATCTCTATATAAGAGATTCATCTGTATTTGTAAAACTTGTATCTAGTGTAACACAGAAAGAGTGCAGATTAGCACCAACAAATGTAAATTCCTAGTTACCGGTGGACGTAGGTCAGAGAAGGACCGAACCACGTTAAATCCCTCATGTTCATCCTTGTGTTCTTGTTTTTCGTGAGCTGTGTGTGTGTTTAGAGTCGTGTGTTAAGTGTCTCGATCCTAACAAGTGGTATCAGAGCTTTGGTTTTAGCTCCAAAGGGTGATTTTCAGTTTTTTGGTCGAAATTTTTTTTCGTCAAAAACGATTTTGGTGTATACCGTTGGAAAGGTCTCGTTCCGAAGATTCCGAAAATATTTTTTTCTGAATTTTTTGACCACTGGAAGACGTCCAAATCGCCGGTCAAAGGTTTGCCGGAATAGTGACCGGAAAACCAGTTCGCCGGAGAAGACGACATTGTAGCACCAGACACTGTAGCAGTACGCCGGAGAAGACGACACTGTAGCAGAAACTGTAGCACGACGTCAGCAGACACTGCAGCAGACACTGCAGCAGACACTGCAGCAGACACTGTAGCAACACTGTAGCAGATTTGAAAATTTGCAATTTGGCCCCTGAATTTCCAGAAAATTGCAAGATAGGTCATTGTTCTTTCAGAAAATGGCAGAAAGCAGTAAGCTTCAGATTGAGAAGTTTGATGGGAAAGATTTTGGTTGGTGGAAGATGCAAATTGAAGATTTGCTCGTACAGAAAGACTTGGACGCAGTTTTAGGTGAAAAACCGGAGGCGATGACACAGGCAAACTGGGAGACTTTGGATAAGAAGGCCAAGGCATTTATTAGATTGACGTTGTCAAAGGATGTTGCCTTCAATATTTTGAAGGAGACCTCGGCAAAGGGAATCATGGAGGCATTGTCTAATATGTACGAGAAGCCGTCGGCAGCAAATAAAGTCTTCCTGATTCGGGAACTAGTCAACACGAGGATGAGGGAAGGAAGTTCAGTTACAGTACACATCAACAATTTGAACTCGATTTTATCCAGACTTGGGTCAGTGGGAATAAAATTTGAGGACGAAGTTCAAGCTTTACTACTATTATCATCATTACCTGACAGTTGGTCCGGAACAGTTACAGCCATTACTAGTTCTGCAGGATCGAAAGAGCTCACTTTTGAGGGAATTCGGGATTTAATTCTAGGCGAAGACGTCAGACGAAGAAATTCCGGGGAATCATCAAGTGAACAATTGAATGCGGTCAGAGGTAGAAGAAATAACAGAGGTAGTGGGAGCGGGAACAGGAGAAGGAGTCAGTCGAGGACTCAAAATGATGTGACTTGTTAGAACTGTAAAGAGGTTGGACATTTCAGGAATCAATGTCCAAAAGACAAGAAAGAAGTTAACGTTGCAGTAGACCATTCAGATGATGATGTTTTGATCTGTAGTGTGGAGAGCAATGTGGATTCCTGGGTTATGGATTCGGGTGCTTCATTTCACGCTACCCACATCCGTGAAGCACTGCGGAATCTGAAAGAAGGGGATTTTGGTAAGGTAAGACTGGCGAACGATGAGGTTCTTGATGTGACGAGCATAGGTGACTTAGATCTGAAGACTCCAGTCGGTCCATGGACTTTGAAGGATGTCCGGGTAATTCCAAGTCTGAAGAAACAGTTGATTTCTGTTGGGCAGTTGGATGAACAGGGACACGAGGTTAAGTTCAGGAATGGGCAGTGGAAGGTTGTCAAAGGAAATCTTGTGATAGCTCGTGGACATAAGAGGGGTTCATTATATATGGTCAGTTTACCGTCTGAGGGAGTAACCGTCCCAGTTCAGAAGAAAAACAAAATCCGGTTCATAGAGTCTCGTGGACAAAAGAAGGTTTGCTTTGCAGATGGAAAACCCAGAGTCACAGGTCAGATTCAGGTTGAACGTGTTTGGAACGGTTCAGAAAAACCAGTCAAGGGCATTCATAGCAGTGGGAGCATGGGCTTTGTTTCAGCTAGAATACCCAGAACACAGTGGGTTAAGAGAACCAGTATTCCATCTGTAAAAGTCTCTCCAGATTATCTGCTTCACATGGAGAGTGTCGTTTGTTCTCAGGATGTTCCAGGATCGGGCAGTTCATTTCAGTGGGAGCCGGTGGAGACAGAGAACAGGTCAGTGGCAGACTTAGCCATGACTGATGCGTTGGAGCTAACGAAAGCTTCAACTGGCCTTCAGGTTAATTGAAGAGAAGGCCAGGGTAACTAGGAAGGAGTTAAGATCAAATACAGATGCACAGTTGAAGCACAGGTGAAGATTGTTCCGTGGCTTCAAGTGGGAGATTGTTGAATGTGAAGCCACAGTTGGTCAAAAATGGCAGGAACAATGTGAAGTTGTGAAGCCACAATTGTTGAATGTGAAGCCACAATTGTTGAATGTGAAGTTTTTTCAAAGGTTGGCTGAAGACCCGGTTGTGTTTTTTGACTACTTCTGATTTCCATCTCTATATAAGAGATTCATCTGTATTTATAAAACTTGTATCTAGTATAACACAGAAAGAGTGCAGATTAGCACCAAGAAATGTAAATTCCTAGTTACCGGTGGACGTAGGTCAGAGAAGGACCGAACCACGTTAAATCCCTCATGTTCATCCTTGTGTTCTTGTTTTTCGTGAGCTGTGTGTGTGTTTAGAGTTGTGTGTTAAGTGTCTCGATCCTAACAGATTAATCAGATAATACTTCATCTTTCAAGGAGCAATAATATTAAGGAACTCATCCTCAATATTTGGGATGACATCTACTTGCTACCCTGTTCGTTCTTTTCATTGCAAGGATTAGAGCACCTAGATCTCTCATTATGTGTATTTGATAGTCCATTAACGAATAACGGATTTAGTAAGTTGAAGAGCCTGCGCTTTTTCGAGGTTGATATCAGTGACAAGATGCTTCAAGAATTTCTTACCAATTGCCCACTACTTGAGAAATTTACTTGGGTATAACTACTTGAGATTAATTATGCTCTTTCAGTTAAATACCTACTTACAAATGTATTTTGATGCAGATTAGGGATGATCAGCAGATAGAGCTTAATGAGTCTGAATTGGTTGAGCTGTTTAAGTGTTTACCTTCAGTTCAGGTTCTGGAAATCTCGCAGTTGTATATCAAGGTAATACTTAACTTGATTGTTTTATCTCATGCGTTTTAAACTTTTAATCTTAGTTTTAGTATTTGGTTAAAGCGCTTGGCTTCAGGTAGTAATAGTATGCCACATAAGCTTCCCATTTCACTACCCCGCTTGAGAATACTTGATCTCTGTGTGTGTTTCCTTGAGCTTTCGACTGTTCTACGTGTGATCTGCAGCTCTCCAAATTTGGAGAAGATCAAAGTGAAGGTAAATATCAGCCACATTATATCACATATGGTTTTAATAATAGATCTTCATGATTCTACTTACAATTTTGACATGTTTTCTGATTAGATGTGTTGGGACCATAATGGAAAGTGTCTTCAACAAACTTTTAATAACGTGCCTGATATTCAAGATCATTCGGGCCTCAACTTGGATCATCTAAAAGAAATGGAGATAACAAGTTTCTGTGACTGGGGTTCTTGGATGGAGTTTGTGAAGTTTGTTATGGCCAAGTCACCTGTGCTAAAGAAAGCACGGATAGAGCTTAGTTATCATCTTTCTGTTGATGAAGAATTGAAGATGCTTCGAGATTTGCTGGAAATGCCATTTCCACGTGCATCACCATCAGCCAAGTTCACTATCGAACGCCGTAAAGCAATAAAAATAAAGTTCTAGTGATGCCAGTTTAATTGTATTGGTTAAAATACAATGATTGTTGCTGTTATTGTCTATTTTGAAGGAACCTTGTTTAGATGTCTTTTTGGGTCGACACGACAAATGCTACTTTTTACTCTTTTTATATTCCTAAATTTATGCCCCCGACGAGAGTCTTGTGGTTGAGGTCCAGGATTTCACACCGGAGATCCAGGTTTCAAACATTATCACACCCAAAATATTGCTAGTGCTCCGCTATTGATATTTTGCAAAGCCTTCTGACAGGTTTTGTGGGCCGTTCATATTTTGCAGTTTACATTTTGATATTCCCAAATTTATTGTATACATCTATTTTGATGCTTGACCAATAAACACATCTAAGAGTTATAAAACGTAATGAGTGTCAAGAGAACTGTGGAATTTCCACTCTTATGATAGTTTGTTGACAATTTATTTTTTATTTATCTATTTTTTTTAAAGAGATGATAGTTTGTACTTCGTTGACAGTTAATTGGTCAAAATATTTAACTATCTATTATGAGAAATTCTATATGTACCCTCCAAATTGTTTCGTATACCTCCCTTGTGAGTGTTATAGTGCTTTTATACCCTGTCATTATTATGTATACATAAAGGGGATACGTATAGTAACAACCTCTATTATTAGTAATAGCCAAAAAGGAGCCCTATTAAAGTAACATCAAAACATCAATTATATATGGTTAATTCCTTTTATCAAATTAAAGGTGCTATAATCAAATTAAAGGTGCTATACTTCTGGTCATGCATCTTATAAAATATAAACCATTTTGTTTTCTAAAAATTTTCATTGGTAAAATATGAAGTTGTCAAATTTACCTTGTTTTCTTATTAAATAACTAATTTTAAAAAACTAGTTTTTTTTTTTAAAAAAAACAGTGGCTAGTAAATCAAGTCTTTTACATCAATACGAAACGCTACCAAACAAGTACTCCTTGTCTTCCCTGCATATTCCACCACCACCACAATTGCCCCATTTTCAACCATTTGAATCACAAAACCTCCAACAAACCATGCAAAGCCTCACCTTTTCAGATCTTTCTTTTGATAGATTTTCTTTTGTCTTTATAAAACTCCTACATAATGAATCATATACAGATGCATGTTGTCTAAGGCTCTCTTCATCCTGGGCAACCTCATTATCTTTTTATGGGGAGAATCGAAGTGTTTTGCATTTAAGTCTATGAGACTAAGACTTACAATGATGTACATAACTTTTCATTTATATATGAACAACTGAAGGGTAAGATAATTGAGGAAACTTGGAATCACGAATGAAGATCTCAAAATCAAAGCCTTGTGAAGAACACGACGAGGAAGAGTTTTTTGAGTCATGCTTGTAATAATTTGAATGAAGAAACTTGTTGTTAGACTTTGGGTCTAAGAATATCAATAATAACTTGGAAAATTCTAGGATCGTGTTTCGTATATGCACTTTCCAAAATCTATGATTTCAACCAATTGATTTGGAATTCAGGCTTCTTCCAAATCTGAAACACAGAATATACATTTTGTATTGTGTTTTCAGAGAGACCAATTTCATGTAGAGAAAAGAATACAAACCTTTGCATGCAAAGACCATATTCCATTTTATTCTCGGAAGTTGGCGGTTTTCAAAGGTGGTTATAGGACATGGAAGTTAATGGTAGTTACTAAGAGAATAACCACCGCCACATCACCATAACATAACTACCGGTTTTTTGTGGGAGAATATATATCTGATCCATTTCTCATATAGAATTTAGTTTACCCTTGGACCCCGCTAGGGGAGCTGCCCCTAAACCTTGGTAGGGCCACTTCCCCTTGCAATCATGTATCTAGGGGTGCGCGCTATCCGCGGACCCCCGTATTCCTGAGTCTACATTTTATCACTCCGAGTATGCACCCCACATCTTCAGTCTCGGATAGTAAAATGAACTCATCTTGTCTCGATAGTAATAATAATTACACTAAAAATCACGAACACTTGTGAATGTTTAGTCGACAATAATGTTGAGGATTTGAGTTGTTCGAAATAAGAGTCAAAGGTAGTTGAGGAAGAGAAATAGGAGGGTCTAGAATCTAGAGGGAGACATGGAATTGAGTTTGCCTGTAGAAGAGTTTAACAAGTTGGCTGTTGCTTTTTTGTCAAATCATTTTAAGTTGTAAAATTTGGTGCCAATAAAATTTCTAATTTTAAAGTTTTTAATAGTTTGAGGTTGAATCAACTCAAAACCAAGAGCAATAGTAAAATTTACATACATAATAAAACTCTTCCAAATTTTCAATCTCGATACATATCGACATAGTAGTTAGATTTGGATGGCCTAGCGAGTCATTCTTGGAGTCAACCATATGCGTCGTTAGATAAGGTCAATAATCTAAACCCAATGTCATACTCCTAAAAATCATTTCAAAACAAGAACCATTTTAGGTTTTAATAACAAGCTGGGATAATATCATAAGTTATAATCATTTTAAATACGACAAATTACAATAACAAAATAAACATAATAATATGCATATGCATATTCTAAAACCCACCCAAACCTTGATTAGAACCTCAAAGTCAAGTTTTGGAGTCATGTGCCCATCACACATGAAACCACAAAACGGGGTTGCAAACCCATCCCCGGATCATGACATTCTAGAATGCTAATCACAAAAAAGCGCTACTGCTTGCATTAGGGAAGTGTTACTAACCAAAGTGACACCGATCAATAAGTTTCCAAAACACACACAAGTCAAATCTCGTTCCTAGTACGATCCATGTATTTAAATCACTTTGTGGAAAACAATTGTAACATCCGAAAATTTAAAACTAGGTTCTTAAATTAATAAAGTAAATAAATGAAAGATGATTTAAATAGTTAAATCATCAATAAATAATCATATCATTAGTTGATATGAAGTTTAGAAAGCTATAAGTGAAAATAATACCATTTTAAAAAGTAAAGGACCAACAGTGTCAAATTGGCAAATTGCGTTGACCAAAGAGATGACTCAGTGAATGGAAGGAACTACAAAAGTTACATAATGGATGGATAAGGACTTGTTATGTCAATGTAATGTCCCAAAAATACTATGTAAAATTTTTATTTTTAAAACTATCAAAATCATCATTCATTCATTTCATAATCCATCAAAATGTGACAATGTATAAAATAGTCATCAGAGTACAAATCATAACATAAAATGCAGAATATTGAGGGATGCGGGGCGATCATGCTGGGCCCTTCCCTTTCAAACCAGAAGTACCTTAAACCATAAACATAAAACTTGAAGCACAAAACTTAGTGAGTTTCCCTAAAATACCACATACAAAACATACATATCAATCAGAAACTAAACTAGGTCTATTTCACCCTTGAGTTTATTTCAACTCCTTCAGTATCTTTCAACCGGTACTGCGTCTATTTCACCCCTCGAGTCTATTTCAACTCCTTTGGTATCTTTCAACCGGTAATGGATCTATTTCACCCCTCGAGTCTATTTCAACTCCTTCGATATCTTTCAACCGGTACTGGGTCTATTTCACCCCTGCAGCTAAGCATATAATAATATCAGCAAGAGTCACAAAAACAACAAGCAAATACATGCACATAAGCAAGTGGGCCAGAATTGGTGCCTTCGATCCACAAATACAATGAAGAGACTCACCTCTCAGTCGATACTCAGCTGTTACTGCTCTCTCTCTCTCTCTCTCTCTCTCTCTCTCTCTATACCGAAATATAGGTGATATACCCCACCTAAGCAATCATACAAGGCACACTCTCAGTCCACTTCCCAAAAAATAAGAGTTGGCCAAAAGTCAACTCAGGTCAGAAGTCAAAGGTCAAAGACAGAGTCCTCATCATCAGCACTCATCTATGTCGTGGCCTTCCTTAGCACGCCGTGGGCACAAAATGACATGACAGTTGACTGGCCTCTGGTCGTCATGCCGTGGCGACCTAGTGTCATGTGATGGGGACTAGTCTGAATGTATTTTCGAGTTATCATGCTCTTAACTCATTTTCAAGGGCTCAAAATCCCAGATCTACTCCTTTCTAACATCTTGATGGATAAAGTTTCCAACTTTATCCATTAAGACACTCCATTAAGACAAGGTCCCAAAACCTAGATTCTAAAGGACATTAAAGATGTTCAACTCATCCATTAAGTCCTTAATCATATGATATCCAAGTCCAAACTTTCCAGAAAGCTTTTAGGGGTCCTATTGATCTCTAAAAATGTAAACTTTATGGACATGCATGCTCCATGCATCTCCTTCCTCAAATTTAGGTCAAGATGAAAAGGGGGCCCAAATCTCATGCAATATACCTAAATCACAACATAATCTCAGATCTATGAGATATAAGGCCCTTGGGACTCCCACAAGTCATAAAGTTGCAAACTTTATCTCTTTGCTCCATCCAAAATCCAATGAAAGAGTTTATTAAGCTAAATAACTCAAGATCTCTAAGGAAAAGCTAAAATATTGGATCAAAATCCTTACAAATGGTCCAAAAAGATGCTTTCAAAGGTTGGGGAGTGTTGCTTGCTAGTCTCTTGCACAAAATCTTCCTCTACTTCCTTCAAAATCACCCAAAAACTAGTAAATGAGCTCCAAAGGCTTCAAGAAGATTAGAGTTAGGGTTTCTGATGGTTTAAGAGTGATGGAGGTCGAGGATGAACAAACCCTAGCCTCCCCATTACTTTAAATAAGGCGCACAGCCTGGAAATTAAGGTTTCACTAAAATCAGCTGCCACACCGTGACGGGTCTTAGAAATCTCGCGATCTTGAAAACATTTTCCATGCAGTGGTGAGGATCCACCACATTGTGGCCACCCAGAATAAAACTTACATTAGGATGGATTAGATCATACCTGAAACGGGTGTTACAACTCTCCCCACTTGAATTAGACTTCATCCTCGAAGTCTGATGCTGGAAACAATTATGGATAATGCTCCCTCATCTCATCCTCAGGCACCCATGACCACTCAGAGACCTTCCGGTGCTACC